TGCTAAAGTGGAGAGTAGTAAAGAACCATCATGAGCTCGTTTCACACCCAGGGCTCGTCATCTTTCGAGACCATTGCTTGGGATGGGCATTTCATTTGTCACGATTTGTATGCCACGCAGAATTGGCAGGGCAAGAAGGCTTTGCGAAGCAAATCACTCTTATGCCGGAGCATTTGGGTGATGACTCAGAACTCCGAATGGGCATGCAGGCTTCCCGCGTCAAAACCCCATGTTTCCGCAAAAAAGTCACCTCCGCGCAGGTAAACTGACCAGGGAGCCCAACAAGTGATGCTTAAATAACGAGGGAAATATACGGACACTGTCAAAAACACCTGTGACATGGGTAGAGGTCCAACGGAGTTCAAAGCCTCGTGGTTCTACGCTGGCATTTGCCAAAGACACCAATCTCTTTTTGGACGCCATTTATTCGGCGGCACTTGTCTGTCCCCATAAGCTGTAAACAGGAAAGGCTTCTACAGATAGAGCGTGTATACGTGGGAATTAGATGGTCAGTCAGGAAAGGTATGAAAAAGAGATGGAAACATGAAAAGATAAATAGAGAAAAGACATGCAAATGAAAATATATTATGTTGCTTTCTTTCTCCTTTCCCTTGACCAATCTATTTCTTTCCTGTGGTCAAGATGTTGACAAGATGAAGAAAGAAGTTAACCCTTCAATCCAAGAAGGAAGCAATCATATCTACTCCAATATTATCTATTTCTTTAGTAGTCATGATGTATCTTATTATTTCTGGGATTCCTCACCATTATAAAGTTAGCTAAGATCATAAAGATATTAACATGTTCACATTCCAGCGGCTATGAATGAAGGGAATGCTGGCCGCTTTCATGTTGAGATTGATCGTAAGAAAACAGGAAATAGATTGTAAAATAAAGATAAATAGAACATGTAAAGGATAAACAAACAGTTTGTAGCTATATTTTATCTTAGCTTCCAAGGAATGCTATCATGAACCTCTAGATCCTGTTCAGATGGTTTTCATCTTATATGTCTTTCATCATGTTCCTTTCATTTACATCTTCTAGTTCTATCTTACTGGAATTATATTATTCACTTTTGTATGTTGTAAAGACTAAGATAGTAAACATGAATAGACTATTTCATGTAATATCAGCCACTGTATTGTTGCATGGTCTTTCTTCTTTCAATTTTTACATTGTTATTATTCCCGAAAGCATGGCGAAGGGTTCTTCCGCTGGGTTCACTTGAGTTGTTCTCATGAGAGTCATTACAAGGTGTCATTGCAAGGAATCATCATCATAAAAGTCATTGCAAGGAGTCATTGCAAGGAGTCATTGCAAGGAGTCATTGCAAGGAGTCATTGCAAGGAGTCATTGCAAGGAGTCATTGCAAGGAGTCATTGCAAGGAGTCATTGCAAGGAGTCATTGCAAGGAGTCATTGCAAGGAGTCATTGCAAGGAGTCATTGCAAGGAGTCATTGCAAGGAGTCATTGCAAGGAGTCATTGCAAGGAGTCATTGCAAGGAGTCATTGCAAGGAGTCATTGCAAGGAGTCATTGCAAGGAGTCATTGCAAGGAGTCATGGCAAGGATTGCAACTTGCACTTGACTCCTTGCACTTGCAACTTGCACTTGACTCCTTGCACTTGCAACTTGCACTTGACTCCATGCACTTGCAACTTGCACTTGACTCCATGCACTTGGCTCCTTGCACTTGGCTCCTTGCACTTGCAACTTGCACTTAACTCCGTGCACTTGCGACTTGCACTTGACTCCATGCACTTGGCTCCTTGCAACTTGCAATGGCTCTCATGACTCCTTGCAATGACTCCTTGCAATGACTCCTTGCAATGACTCCTTGCAATGACTCCTTGACTCCTTGCAATGACTCCTTGCAATGACTCCTTGCAATGACTCCTTGCAATGACTCCTTGCAATGACTCCTTGCAATGACTCCTTGAAACAAGCAAGGAGTCAAGTGCAAGTTGCAAGTGCAAGGAGTCAAGTGCAATTGACTTGCGAGGAGTTAAAATCTCTTCTTAGGGCGGCGGGGTAGTGCCGACGACACTACACGAAAATCGACCCTCTGCGGGGATCGGCGTGGTCGAGGTGCAAAAACCCATGGTTTTTTGCGATTTCTAACCCTCGCGCGACCCTCTGCGGGGATCGGCGTGGTCGAGGTGCAAAAACCCATGGTTTTTTGCGATTTCTAACCTGCTCGCGCGACCCTCTGCGGGGATCGGCGTGGTCGAGGTGCAAAAACCCATGGTTTTTTGCGATTTCTGCCTGCTCGCGCGACCCTCTGCGGGGATCGGCGTGGTCGAGGTGCAAAAACCCATGGTTTTTTGCGATTTCTGCGGTGCTCGCGCGACCCTCTGCGGGGATCGGCGTGGTCGAGGTGCAAAAACCCATGGTTTTTTGCGATTTCTAATCGCGCGACCCTCTGCGGGGATCGGCGTGGTCGAGGTGCAAAAACCCAGGTTTTTTGCGATTTCTGCGGTGCTCGCGCGACCCTCTGCGGGGATCGGCGTGGTCGAGGTGCAAAAACTCGGGTTTTTGCGATTTTGTTGTTCGCGCTGGTCCTCGGGAGTTGTCTCGTGGTTCGCGCGCCTGCTCCCGGAACCGGCGGGTCGCGGGTTCGATTCCTCCCTGGTTGCCTCAGCAACTTGCGCAGAGCAACTTGCGCAGAGCAAGTTGCACAGAGCAACTTGCGCAGACCAACTTGCACCGACCAGTTTGCGCAGAGCCTAGAGCAACTTGCGCAGAGCAACTTACGCAGAGCAACTTGCACAGAGCAACTTGCTTGCACAGAGCAACTTGCAACTTGCACAGAGCAACTTGCAGGGAGCCAAGACCAACTTGGAGCACTTGCAGCAACTTGCGCAGAGCAACTTTGCAACTTGCGTAGAGCAACTTGCGCAGACCAACTTGCACCGACCAGTTTGCGCAGAGCACCTTGCCTGGTGCTGTCTCGCGCTTGCTTCACGAAGTGTAGGGAAAAAGAACGCATCCTGCAGCGTTGGGCCGACCTCGCTTGCGATGTTCTGCTTTCGGGCCAACCGTGGTCTAGTTTTTATTTACGTGTCTTTCTTGTTTGTTTGTATCCTTCACTATGATCCAATATTGGATTATTCCCTCTCTCGCCTGTTGGCTGGCTTGGGTTCTCTCGTTCTTGGTCACTTCAACTCAAAAATAGAAAAGAGCCTAAACAAAAGATAACTCTTTCAAAACAAAAACTGGACATGTCCCTCCACTGAAACAAAACAACAAACTAGTGCAAAGAAGGAAACAAAACAACTGAAAGACTGAAAACCCAAAGTTCGTGGCACCACAGCCCTTTTTTCCTGGGGTTTTCCACAAAAACCAAACGCGGCGGAAATCGAGCCGAAGGCGCAGGTCTGCTTCTGCAGCCGCTGCGCGGCTGCCTCTTGGGCCGGCACCATGTGGATGTCCCCCTCCAACCTGGTTCGAGTGTGGGGTCGGGTGCTGTCTCTCGGTTGCGAAATCTGCGAAGCCCTGCGAAAAGCTTAACTTTTAGTGGTTTCATGGAAAACCTATTAGTTGGCAAAAGTTAAAGTCCTAACATCCCTTGGCAAAATGCACCAAAGGTCTGGTATCTGGGTATAAGACGGTAGGGAATAAGCGAGGGTCCGGAAGAAACGAAACAGTCTCCAGCCTGGTTTTGTCTCGGGGGAAATCAAGAATTTGTGAGTCAGTTGCTTGGCCAGTGACTGGCTCGGACTCCAGAAGCTCAACAAGTGACTGCGACCCATCTGCAGAGAGGTATGCCACCCGGTACGAAAGAGTCTCAGCGATTGAAATTCAAGGAGATGCAACACGTGGGAAATGACACCAATGAAATTTTTAGAGGGCAGCTTGGGACCTTGAAATGCCCACAACTTGAACAAAAGGATCGAAGGAAGTCGGGGATCGCCATCGGGATTTGGCCTCCAAAGGCTTCTTTCGCTTGCCAAGAGCGAGGGACTGCCCCTAGGGGCCGAAAGACGCAGGAGACACACTGCTTGAGTTGTTGCAAGGAATGGACGGTTCACATCGCGGGCGAGATGCAAGATGTTTGATGTGAATTGCCGAGCCCGCCCCTCGGTGCCAGGCGTGTTTTTTTTGTCGCCACACTCGGGGTCTCATGTTGTCCAAAGAGGACCCCGTCTTGGGGCCGTGGTCCATGCCCGAGGTCAAGCGTCCTCCTTGTCTTCGTGGGAACCTCCTGTTGCAGAGACATCCGGAAATCAAATAGGCGGCTTGATTTCTATCAATGCTTTTACCCCAGATGAATCTTTCTTGCGGATAAATGTGGAATTGATGGGAGCTGCATGCAGCCCCACTGTAAGCTGGGGTCAATATATCGTGGGTTTGCACTTTGCACTTGTGGTTGCTCCGGATCAGACACACTGTCTTATACAAAAAAACACCTAGGGAACTCTCTCTCTCTCTCTCTCTTGCCTGACTTCAAAACCGATCAAAACCTCAAAATCCTTCAGCGCCCATCCAAATCACGCCGACACCACTTCAAATTGCTGCGAAATGCAGCTTCATAGCCCCACCCCTCAACAAAACCCACCTACCGTCCATCGAGTCCACTTTCCTCCATTTGCTTAAGTCCCCTGGAAAAAATGACATATTTCCAGTAGTGCTAGATTCCCTTGAAGAAACCACCCGGGGAAAATCAAACACAATGGTTCAGCAATTGGAAGGTTTGCTGCCGCTGGCTCTGAGGCGCGTGGTGGTGACCTGCACCGAGAGCTCCGGGCCCGGCTGCCCGGGTCGCGGGCTCGCCAGCGGCAGCACGCGGCGGAAGCCGCCGGCGGCGGAGACGACCTCGGCCAGGGGCACCAGGCAGCTGCCCACCAGGCGGCCCTCGCAGACCACCTGCCAACCGCTGCGAGAGGAACGGAGCCAAGAGAAGCCACAGGCAAGGCAGGCCGAAAAGCAAGAGGCCAAGCGAAGCGAGTAAAGGCCAGGCCAAGACAAGACAAGCCAGGCAAGCAGGCAGAGCCAGGCAAGCAGGCAGGCAGGCAGGCAGGCCAAAAAGCAAAAAGCAAAGCACGCAAATGAACGAAAGAAAGAAACAGTTGCAAGTGGGACACTCATGCTAGGCTGTGTGGCTCTCTCTACCTGTCTTAAGCATCCCTCTTTCTAGCTGTTGGACAACCTGCTTGCCTCTTCCGGGGGCCAACACACACGCCTGAAACAATCCAGAAATCCAAGCCTTAGAAGCCAGCAAGCCCCTAAAGGTAGATTGATAGTCCAGTGAGCTCCGGGTAAGTTTCATATTATGTTTTCATGGGGTAAAGAAAATCCATTCACGGGAGCCTGGTCTGGGGAGTCAATGTGGAACATGTGCCGAAATCCGTGATACCAAGGATCTTGATTCCCATAGCTATCAAGGGGATCCCATTGGTATTACACAAAGCGGGCATGGATTTCCTAATTCGTCAAACTAAAATCCTCCCATACCCCACCCAACCCCACCCCACCCCACTCCACTCCACCTCCACCTCCACCTCCACCTCCACCTCCACCTCCACCTCCACCTCCACCTCCACCCCACCCCACCTCCACCCCACCCCACCCCACTCCCCGCCCCCCCCTTCACGCACCCTCGAAACCAGCGCCTGGAACACCAGATGAGACTCATAGCCCGTGAAGGGCAGCGCGGTCTGCCAATCGAAGATGGGGTGCCTCCGGGCAGCTTCTGTCCGCGAGCTTGCGGCGCAAAAAAAACAAAAAACAAGCTGCGGGCTCACTGCGCGCACCAAACGGGGCCAACCACGTTGGCCCAAGCTGTTCAAATGGGGGCAAAGGCTTTTTGGGAGCCGCTCATATCAAGGGCTGCTCTTGATTGCTGATTCCGACACTCTGGCTGACACGGCCTTCTTTGAGACAAACGCAAAGCCTCTGCAAAGGAATCGACTCAAGATGCCTGGATGTCTCTTGTAAAGCAACTTCAAGCTTGAGAAACTTCACTCATTGCACGAGGCCAAGTCAATGAGTTCGACAAAAGCTTGTTGCGTCGCTTCGTTGATTAATTCTATTGTGGCGTAAACAAAATGTTTGGGTAGGGTGTTTTCAAGGTGCATGTCGGGGGCCTCTCTCCATTTGAGCTATTCAGGCAATGTGCTCTCGATGCCACTCGCTCGCAAACAGCCTCGGCTTCCTAGCCACTCCAATTTACCCCAACTGCCACAAAAATCACGCCGAGTCACCCTAGTTACCCCCGCCGCAGCTGAAATGTCCTTTTCGACCCTGGTGCATCCAGAGCAGAGTTGCAGCGGGATACACACCGTGTTTTTTTGGAATTCCCTAAGAAAGGGAAACAACAAGGACATGGCTCCTGGGTATGGGCTAGTCCGATGATTGCCCACAAAAGCCCCAAGTGGAATACAGCCAAGAACACCTACAACAAGAAAATGCTCCAATAATGGCTGAAGACAACTCCTGAAGAAACAACACCTATCTTTTTTAGGGCTCGACAACGGAACGCACTCTGGGTTCCGACCATGAAGAGCGGCGCTGTCATTGCTGGATTCCTGTCCAGCTGCCTAAATACTCTGCAGATTTTCGCGGAAGGAACCCCCTTTGCGGGTCACCGAAAAGCGGACTCCTCAAAAAGCAATGCCTGGGGTTTGATGTTAATCTGCAGAGTAACGGAGTTGCACAGGGGGTCAAATTCATCATGGACAAAAGTTAAACACTTCCCGGAAGTTCCGGGCGTTTTGGTTTGCCTTGGTGCATTTTGCGTTTAGCCCCTGAAAATTGGTCGGGGTTCTCCATTGGAGGGCCCGGGGGTCTGCATTGGAGGGGCATGACCCTTACTTTGGTGCATTTTGCAGAGGGATGCTAGGACTTGAACCTTTTGCCAACTAATGAGTTTCCGTATCAAACCACTCAAAGTTCAACTTTTAGCAGGGGAGCAGAAGGCAACCGAGTTTGGGGGTTGATCCAAAGGTCCGAAGATGGGATGACCATTGGTTGGAAACCACTCAGACTTAAAGATGACAAGGTATGATATGTTTTTGTTTGAAACCCGGAAAAAGAGGTTCGAGATTTCAACCACGATTGATGCATGGGCAGTTTGGGGGCCAGGAATATTGAACCCCCATCGTGGCAGCCAGAAGCCGCCTGGCAGTTTGGGCTCGTGGTCACCATTTGAATCATCGTCGGTGGCTTGGGGCTTCCGTCCCCCAAATGGAGTGGTGAGGTGTTCTGGGGGGTTTCCCATCCCGCATGGGGTTGAAATGGGTGCTCCGGGCCCAACATGATTTGTTGGGGTCCACACCCAACATTCTGGGTGATGTCCCTGAAATATATGTGCATGTTGTGGGGGTGCAGGCCAATTTAGCTGACCTTGCAATTTTCCCTTTATTCCCTGCTGGTATCAAATTGTTGATTTCATGCGGTCGGCTTGAATCTATTTTCCCCACTTAGTTTCACGTCCGTATTCTTGTTTCCCTCCCTTGGTGTTCATGGTTGTTTTCTGTTTTCAGATGGGTTTATATGTGTTTGCTTTACTTCCTCCTTGGAAACCGACCAAGAGAAAGCGCCGGGCCTTCCGAAGGCCTCCCCCAGCGGCGAGCGCCGCGTGTGCTGGCCCAAGGCCACCACCGCCTGAGGAAAGCGTCGAATGGACCGCCGTCGGGTCCCGTTGCGGTGTTTTTTGTCTTTGGCGGGTGGATTCCACGTGTTTGTTGGTTTTTTTGTGAAGGGCAACCCCCCTAAAAACAGGAAAGCCGTGATTTCTCTTTTGTTTCTTCTTTTTTTCTCTTGGGGGTTTGAAGGGAAACCCCAAGGGGTTAACCGTTAAGCCATTGTGGTGGGGGGGTCCCCCTGAACAAAAAGTACTCTCATAGATGCGACGGCTTGTGTTTTTGTTGAAGGGAAACCGTGCTGTGATTGGTTTGATTGAAGGCAAAAAGGATGCCGACCATTGGGGGTCTAATGTTGATACCCCATGTGGAGGTCTCCAAGCAACAAGGGAAACCAAGAGAAAGCAACCGACCTATTTTTTTCTGGGCGGGTGACACATACCCATTTGCTTTGGGTCTGCCCATGGTTGTCAGGGGCCCAACTTGCTTTGAATATTGTGGATCGACAAAGCAATTTCGCAGCAGTGCATAAGTGGTTATCACCAGAATATTTACAGGGCTTTATTCATCCGAAATTGTCCATCCACAACTCCAAGCGATTCTGTGTTAGAGGACCTACATCGCGAAAGGCACGCCAAAGAGACACCTACCAGTGTGGGTGTCTTCATTCCATATTAATAGGTTTCAGCCCGGTTGGAAATCCATTTGAGGAGCATGGGTACTTAGCAAAACCACCAATCTGACAATCAACTCATGCTACAAAGCAAGAGCTGCTTGCTAGGGCGATCAAGTGATTCTCGTTGACTTTCTCAAAATGCACATCGCAAGAAGACAACATACTAAATACTACCTCATCATCATCATCATCATCATCACCACCACCACCACCACCATCATCATCATCATCATCATCATCACACCTCTTGAACCGGCAACAAGAAAAAAACAAACACACACACACACACATGAAGGGGGTACACAGAACATGGAGGAGACCCGCAGGGGCCCTGGAGACCATAGACCAATTGCGTCAGCCCAAGGCGCCTGCGGGGGGTACCACCTGATACCCGGCAAATCCAGATTTCCGGCGCGGAGGACTGTTACGAAGAGCCGCTGCAGCGAGTCCTGGAACACCGGGAAGCGGTTTTGAGGTGTCGAGATGTGTCCTGTTTGGGGTAGGTCTGAAGGAACACCAGGAGGAAACGATCATTTTGAGGCTTCCCCCGAAGAAAAAAAAAAGAAAAAACAAGTCTACCTTGGGAAAAATGAAGAGAACCCAAGTGGGCGCCAGCTTTACCAAACGCCCCCGCTACTTCGTGCTTCTCAGGAAATCGTTGGGGCTTGCGGCATGAACCGGACAACCGGACCCCTTGAAGCAAACCGCAAGGGATGGATTCGGGTCGTTCCATTTCTCATTGCCTGCTGAGAACCAGCAGGTTTAAAACGAACCTGGGCACAAATCTGATGGAAGGACGGGATAGATTCAATCCATCGTCGTGGGCTCTGGTAAGGTTGGTCTCTCTGAGTTTGCTGGTAGGACCCAAGAGGGAAACGACCCATTTTGGAGAGGTGTTACCCCCTTTCTTGGGAGTCGAAATGGACACTGTTTGCGTTTGGAGTTCACTTGAGAATCGTCGAGGATTGGAAGCTGCATCATGGAGTCAACACCTTTTGTGACATCTGTTTTGAGAAGGCCCGAAGGAGAGAACCGCAGGCCCTCAGCCTCTCCCAAGGGATTTTTGGCATCTAGAAGGGTTTTCGAGGTCTTTGAATCATGGCGCCACGAACAGAATCCGAAAATGGGAAAGCCCTTTTAGATGTTTTTTCAATCGCGACCAAACATGAAAAGGGGACCATACACTTCCAGGATGGGAAACAGGTGCAGTCCCAGGCGCGAGCTGAGAAGACCCATCATCTTTCCCACCCCGGCTGGCTCCCCACAACAACTGCTTGAAGACAACCTTGGTCAAAACCCAACGTACGGTCACCAAAAAGCAGTGGTTGATGCACGCACAAAATGGCAGGCCCCTCTTACTGGTGCGCTTAAAAGACATTCGGCTCCCTCCCCCCCAAAAAACAACAAACGGTCTAGGCAAAGCCTGAAATTTGGGATCTCCAAATAAAGGTTTACCTCGTGAGCTCATGACAAAATGCAGATGTATGACATTGACCGTGGTTCGAAGCAGGGCTCTGCGTTTCGAGTCAACATGATCAATATAAGGGCTGAACAAATCCACACACAGATTATGTTTATGATCATGACTGAATTTGGCATTAACGCTCTCGACCCCGTTCTAATTAGGCCCTTATAGTACACCCCGTGTCCAGCTTCAGCCCAAGAAGTGCACTTGGCTCCTTCTTAATGCGTCTAGCACCGGGATACAGCTGTTGTTGCAGCTGCTGCCCATCGCTCATGGCCAAGGTCTGAGTCACTCGGTGGGCTCGTTGGCCGAGTCGCCCATTTGCGGGATCAAAAATACCCGAAAGAGTCCGACAGCTGCAAAAAAGGTTAGAGGTCGCGCAACATGGCAGCCAGGTGGAAATCAGATATATTTTTGTTCTCACTTGTCCGAAGGCGAATATCATTTGCACGGAGATGTATTCTACGCAAGCCATGTTTGAGGGTGCGCAGTGAAAGTCATAGTGATGTGGCATAACTACCCATCCAAATTATCAACGGCAGAATGCATGGGTCCACGTGTGTCTCCTTACAACATGATTAAACTCACCTTGAGATTGGCAAACAAGGTAATCCCCAAAAAAACAACCCACCTAAAAAGGATCAGGTCATGTTCAAACCCACCACACATGCAAGATGTATGAGGATGAGCAATGCAAAGAGTGCAATGCTATGAGATGCACCTGCCGAGAGCACCTGGAATCCCATCAGGGGGATCTTTCTTGTGCCTGTCTTGGCTTCCATCCGAGCCAGGTGGCTGCGCAAAGAGTAGAGACCAGTTCAACTGGGTGAGTCTTTTCTTCAGGCTTGGTACCCTTTGGGGGTTTTACTGGACAACCAAAGGAAGCCTGCCATCTGGGCGTTCTCGAAATTTAGAGACAAAACGAACCGAATGTGACATGAGGGCCTGTCCTACATGATGGCATGTGTGCCTTAAAACTCCCCACAAACGCATTCCCACGGGGTTGACCCCAAAAACCGCTAGCAACAAAGCCCATTTTGAGACATACTCGTATGGTGGATTCGGAAAACTGAGGCAAGTAGGGAATGTGACAGAACCCTTGCAATTCACAAGGATGCGCGCTTGGTGTGCGGGTGAAACTTGGGGAATCCGTTTCTGCTCGTTTCACAAGTGGGAAGTCGCCCAAAATAAGTCTCGACTTGTGATGTTTCCACCCAACTGATCCTCCCCCGAAGCTGTCAATGATCTACGGCTCCAAGTGGTCAAGCGCCGTGCATGAAAAGTGTAAATCAGGAATACAGTGCAAACCTGTCACCAGCCTGGATGTGGCGTGGAAGCATGCTACCTTCATGTACAATAGGTGGTGATGACTGGCAAATACTCCGGAGTCGGAATCAACCGTCCGTGCCTTTCAAATGGCTGTTTCTCTTAATTGGATATCGCTTAGAAAAGCCGAAAAGGATCCAAGAGCGGAGCTCTCCAATAAGCATAAGGGCCCAATTTTGCACTCAAAGCGCAACATCAAGCACTGCAGTACTTCCTCACTTCAGCACATCAATTGCTAGAGGTCCTTGTTTGAAATGCATGGTTACCCCAAACGACACAACTTGCTACACAATACTCACAAACAATCAGACTTGCAATCAGCTCACGCACCTATGGGGGCGAGCTTGTTTCACCCCTCAGGTGAGCTACCTTGTTCTTCCAGACATGGCGTTCCACCAGAAATGTAAAGAACAAAACACATTGCAGCTGTGCAAGTGAGAAACCATGTTAGAATTGAATAAGGCGCGGCTTCATTTTCAAGTATAGATGAGTCACCAACTTCGGTACTTGGGTTTGGACACGGAATCGGGACCCGCAGTTCAATGGCCCACAATTGTTTGCAATGGCTGCTGTGAACAATATGTCCATTGTATGGCTTTGTCTCCAAAATGCATTCAACCACGAGCATGCTATCGACGAAAGAAGCCTGCCAGACATAAACCCCGTGGTTGCCCTTCTGGGGAAAGCAACCCTAGGTCTCAGCCAGCCAATGAGTAAACCAATAGGACCCTGCTGCCAACTGACACAACACCCCAAAAACCGCTGCCCGCAGCACCCAGGGCTGCCCACATCAGCGCAGCGGAGCATAGCGATGCTCGCGCTCGCGCCCGCCTCAGATCAACATATTCGGCTCAAGCAGCACATCAACTGGCGCTGCCAACGTAATGGTCGCAGATTCTTCCCGCAATTCCCACTTCGGCATTCTGGACGTCTCGAGTACTGGCAGGCAACTATAAAAGGCCGAGAGCACCTGGAAACACTAGGTTCACCTGTTGGGTGTCACAGTTGCGAAGCCAATTTACATATAGGAAGCCCGTTTCAGATGGTTTTAAAGGAAACCCATGCACACCCACTAGTTTCGGGAGTCCCCGATCTTGAGACACACTCTCAAGTCTTTGTTCCTACCCTTTCAGACTGGCACTTCAACCCAGGCCCTGCCTCGCCAGGCGCTGGTCGACTCGGCTGACTTGGCTCGGCTGACTTGGCTAGATGGTGATTCACTGATGGCAGTTGAAGAGATCTGTGTCGATGGGCAATTGCCTCTGCAACCGGCGAAGGACACGCGAGCCTGGCCCTAACGCTGCGGACCAAAGCGCGAGGATCAAGCTCGCCTGGGCCCCGGTTGGAGATGAAGGGGGTGCGAAATAAGGCTTAAAGCATTGTGATTTCATTCAAGGAGAGGTGCAAAATGCAAATGTAAACGCGCACACAGGCGTTTAGTGATGCGAATCGCCTTACCTCCCCCTGGTGGAGATCAAATCGTGGGCTTCGAGCTATTGATTCACGCGGTACCTTGTAGAAGCACAGAGCCCGCATATTGGAGCCCTCCATTTATCTTGGCAGCCTTGGGTTTGTGGGGACCCAAGGGACGGGTTTCGTATAGGGACCAATTGGCCGAGAACGAGTCACCGGAAAGTGATCCAAAGGAACCTTTGTCGCAAATACCCCTTGAGGTCCCTCTGACCCGTTTTTTTTTTTTCCTTTTGTTCTTCATGTGTTTTCCTTTTTTATTTGAACGACCCCCCAATCACACTGAGTTGGGGACTTCACTAGTCGTTTTCCAACAGAGTGGCTGTCTTTACGAGGCCGGCCCAATTTCAGACAACCCCGCCATAGACTAAGACGCTTCGGTCTAACGCCACAGCCGAGATTGCCCCGGACCCATCGCGGCCTCTTTTGCCGAAGCGGATCCGGATCGGCTTGGCGCCCGCTAAGCGGAACATCTTCGGCAAAGACAACTGGAGGCTCTCAAACCATTTGTAGAACACAAGGTGTAATTGACTGCGGTTACAGGCCAGAAACACCATACACATGCTATTTTTGTATATCTATTATATATATATATATACATACACGTTAGCAAACCATGAAGGTGTGTGCTGAACAAACAACTCGTCACGTTCTTCATTGGAGAAACAACATAATTCACATTGGGAAAGGGAACTCCCACTTCAGGCAACTTAATATGTTGCCTGAAGTGGGGAGCTCCCTTTCCCTACATACCTGGCATTAAACAATCAACGGCCACTCACTGTTCCCTTCAACTTCTCGGCAAGTTCCGTCTGAAAAGTTGTTCGAGGGTAGCTGCGCACCAACTTGTCTGCAAGGCGCACACCTCGACCTGGGGTCAGAAAAACCGAATTGTCAGAGTCTGCATATCGAGTCTGCCCCAAAACATAGTTTTGCAGGAGACTCCAGTGGATAACAGCCTTCAGAGCTAGGTTGTCATGAAAAACAACATGGTCATATGCTGCCAGTGTTCGTGGCCGTCCCCAGCATATGGCTGTCCGGATGGGCTGGTCGGCAGTATCATTCTTTGTTTTCCGCTTGTGGTGCTAGATCATTGTTGAAGTGTGGGTTGTTTCAGCAGAACTTCAATGATGCTACTGTGCAGTTAACCCATGCGGCTGTTCCTGCAGGTTCAAGCTGCACCCATTTCGATCAACCCGTTCAAAACAGGTTCAATCAAAGGTCGTATAGAATCTGATCGCCAGGAACCAATGTCAATATAACATGTCAATATAAAATATAGAATATCCAAACCAATGTGGCCTAACCAATGTCAATATCTAAATACATCTAGAATCCAAAGCCATGGGCCCTGGGATCGCGTACTTGAGGGCCCGGAAACTTGTTGGTGCTTACTAGGCAATGAGGCAATGAACCCAGGGGGTCCCCTTAAAGGAAATCATAGGGGATGATTTATAGGGGTCACTCCCTCAAACCAAGGTCCGGGTTGTTCTCTTTTCCGGGAAGTACCTTGCCAAATACCCCGAACATGCTCCTGGGGCGATGGCCTTTGTACAAACCGCGCCGAGCATCTGATGTGAAACATGGCGATGCTTTCTCCGAGACGCTGAAGAGGACGTCGAGAAGCCCACGAAATTGCGTCTTGCTGAGTGGATCACAACAAGTCCAAACTTTCGCTTTGGGACCAACATGTGCCGAATGTCATGGCCAGGCGAGGCGACAACTCCTCTCTGCTCACTTTGGGCTCCACATACCTCAGCCATCGGGGGGGGGGGGGGTAAGAAACCCAAGGCGATTGAAATCCCGCACCCCCATGCCGTTTTCCCTTTGCCGGGCATATCTTAGTAAGGCGTCCTCAATTTGTTCCTCCAAATGTGGTTTGGAGGCAAACCAACCCAACAATCCCAGGAACCCCGCAAAATGTTCAAGAGGTCTAGTCTTCCCCCTTTGGCGTCACACCTAGGCGAGTGTTGAAGAGCACCCGCAGCGTCTTCTGCAAGTGGCTGTGGTACTTCCTGCCAAAAATAAACGCACGAGTTGGACAGTGCAAAAGGCCTGGGAAACGAGACGGCCACCTAAGCCAATCCACCCTTGAAACGGTTTTTCAACCATTCTGTGCTGCCTTCAGTCATGGCTTGTGTTCTAAAACATCACTACTTTGCTTAATCCATTGCCCCATTTCTGCCAGAGGTGCCCACAGCGCAAAAGCCCAACTGCAACTGTGCAACTCGAATCGGATAAAGAGACCTTTTGTAGCATTCGCGCGGGCAAACATACAGCCATCTTCGATCTTGACCCAGTTGGGCTCCCTTCAAAAAATAACACACTTTGCCAACCACAAGGGTACCTGGGTGCCAAAGAGTGGGGCAGACACCAAGAGCATCCACCGCCTTCTGGCTTTGCGGGGAAGTTCATGGGCAATCCCAGGGACCCAGGTGCCCTCCACCGCCCGAGGCGTGGCCACCCCGACCGCGCCGC